GCACGACGCCCCACAATACTCTTGCTCTTTCTCATCGCCTCCTCCTTGATTGGCTCCTCGACCATTGTTTGGTGGGAATTTTTCAAGAAGAAGAATGAAAGAATTCTATTTGATTTTTATTCTCTCAATCTCGATTACAATTTAAATTCCTGATTATAATAGAGAAGAGAATTGATCTGAATTCTCCCCTTTGTTTAAGTCTGGGTTCTTCACGGTGGCGATGGAGTGCGAAGAGAATTGATCTGAATTCTCCCCTTTGTTTAAGTCTGGGTTCTTCACGGTGGCGATGGAGTGCCTCCTTCGAATGCTCGCGTCGAATTGGTGGCGATGGAGTGCCTCCTTCGAATGCTCGCGTCGAATTTGCTCTCCGTTGACGATCCGAACGTCTTGTTTCACTGGAACGTGGTCTTTTCCTCACGATTCGACGCTGTGGAGAACTTACAAAACAAGTTTTAGAACTCTGAACGAGTTGATAACTCTGAACGAGTTTAAAACTCTATGAAAGAGTTTATTTAACCTAAATTGGTTTGTAAGCCAAGGGAATGCTCCAAGAACTTTGTTGCTGCAGGAAGCTCGAAGATGATCTACTGTCGAGAAGATGATCCGAAGAAGCCGATCTCTAGATCTCCAATATACTCCAAGATCCAAAGATCCCCAAAAAGAAGCCCAAGATCTCTTCTTTGCTGCTAAGTCGAAGGACCCAAACTCAATTGAGTTTACTCCTATTTATAGGGGATTAAGGGTGTAATCGCCCCCTTAATCCTCTCCTAAGTGGAGCTTGTTAGACCCTAGAGGGGGATGATTAGGGTCTTATGCTAATCTAATCCGATTTTATGCCAATTAAAACTAATACAAACTATTCTTCTTGCAAGATAGATATACAAAATGTTATAAACAAGAATAAGCAATATGAGCAAATGAGATATATCCTATATGATAAAAATATATGCAATGATATATAAACTAACACAAGGGTGATATAATCAAACTACAAATGTGATAGGGTAAAATACACACGAGTAAAGGCAATTGGCGATATAAGATAAATACATAAGCAAATGTGCTAATGACAAACTCAAACACACTCAAATGATCACGGAGTTCGGACCTTCCGTCCTACGTCTCCGCTCCCCACTCCCGGGAAGAAATCCACTATCACAACTGGGTTTTCTACGCTCACCCGAATAACGTTTACACCTCACAATGTCGGTTTTCAACGCTCACCGATCAACGTCTACACTCCTCACACTCGGTTTTCTAGCTCACCAAAAACTTTACAATCTCACAAAATAACAAATGATTTTTCTCAAATATGGATGAGAACACAATGAAGCTCACTCTCAATATTACAACACTCACCAACCCAAATATACTATGTATGCAAATACAATAAGCTCAAGTGGGTGTGTAAGCAATGAGTGAAATAAAATCAAATCTAAACTCAATATAAAAACTAGCTTTAAGGAATGATAATCAAATAACTAAACAAATGTAAAGCTAATTTAGAAAACTTTTCTATAAACACAAAGGAGAGGATGAAGAAGATTGAGGATGAATCCCTCAATTGACAACATAAGCTTCCTCCTTTATAAACACAAACCCCAAACTTAAAACAAACTATAAAACCCTCTTAAACTTGTTTAAAACTCTCTCATTATATATGAAATGATAAATACAATGGGATATATAGGGTAGAAAAAAATAACCCTAAAAAACCACTAAAAGACAAAAATCAGCAAATTATCGTTACTGTGCAACGGTAACATTGGCGGTCTACCGTCGCGGTCGACCGTGAAAAGAAAAACTCAAAAACTGCTCTGTGGATTGCGTACGGTCGACCACCACGGTCGACCACACTGTAGCATGATCGACCGTGGCGATCGACCGCACTGTAGCAAACATGCACAGGCAGTTTTCAGTTTTTGACAGTTCTGGAATTTTGTGTATCTGACTTTGTAAAATCAATTAAAAATATTAAATAAACTCCAAAAATCATAAAATTTTTAGAGAAGGTTCTAGACATGTATATTAACATGTTAGAGAAAGAATTTCTGAAAAATCACTTCCCAGTTGAGACAAATAAATGTTTTAACATAGATAAACAGTTTCTAAAAAACTGCTGAAAACTCGGTTTTGTAAATTCAATTGAAAATAACAAAACAACTCCAAAATTAGTAAAACTTGGGGAAATGTTTGTATATATGAATATAAGCATGTAAATGAAGAAATTTTTCAAATTGCATTTCCCAATTGTAAAAACTCATGTATTTTGTAAGTATGTCCAAAACATGAAAAGTTGATATACATAAATTTTGATGTTTTGACATAAACACAACTTTGAAACATTTTCAAACGTTCTTATAGACTTAATAAAAGATATAAAAAGTTGTTATGAAGTCTATAAACTAGAAACATAATATTTTTACAAATATTCATATTCTATGCAATATTTTCTAAAACACAAATATGTAATCTCATATTTATAAACATGGAAACCCAACATAGAAACTAAAAACTTGTATGTATAAATATATATATATATATATAGAAACCAAAACTAAAATGTGTGTGTATATGATATCGAGCTTAAAGTATTGAACACACATAATATAAATCTAAACTAATGTACCCAAGCAATCTTGATCTTCAATAAGCTTGACTTGGTACACTATGCGGATAAAGCTGAACTTGGATCTTGAACTTGAATTGCATAAGCTTTACTCCATAATTCCGCCAACCTCCATTTGATATTGTCGTTGAAGCGCTATTCCATCCATCCTCCAACATATTATTTGTCTATAATAAATAACAAAATACAAACACTAGACAAACAATATTAGATATAAATTGTTTATTAAATCATCATCAAAATAAGAAGGCCAACAGAGCTGAATGGAGTGTAACCGCCCCCTTAAACAGCTCCCCAAATTATGGGGAAAAACTGTTTTGAAACCGTTCAGTTCGTGCTTTGAACGAGTCAAACGCTGAAAAATAGCATTCAGGGCCCGAACTCTGCGTTTTAGACTTGAAACGCAGAGTTGGGCCTATTTTGGTGGCTGAACGCACAGGTCGCGCTGCGTTATAAATTTGAAACGCAGAGTTGGGACACAGAGATGAACTCCGCGTTTTGAGTCTGCGAACTCTGCGTTTTTAACTGGAGCGCTGGGGATGAACCTTGCATTTTGACTCTGAAACGCGGGCATGACCTCTGTGTTTTGATGGTGTAACACAGGGATGACCTCTGCATTTTGATGGTATAATGCAAGGATAACCTCTGTGTTTTGAGGTTGTAACACGGGCATGACCTCTGTGTTTTGAGGTTGTAACACAGGGAGGACCTCTGCGTTTTGCTTCTAGGAGTTTGGAACGCGGCCACGAACTCTACGTTTTGAATCTGGGACGCAGAGGTGAGCTCTGCGTCTGGATTTGAAGAGATCGTCGATTTGTAGTCTCTTTTGCTAGAGCGTTGCAAAGATCATCATCTTGTAACCTTCATCTTAGATCCTTAAAAATATGAAAGTCGTCAGATCGTAACTCCCGATGTTGATTGTGAAGGCTGTTGAACTAGAACTTTCATTGGTTGTTGTGAAGGTCGTTAGATTGTAATCTTCTTATAGCTTTCTGGAAGTCGTCAGATTATAACTTCCATAATCGGTGTTTGATGGGGATTATCTATCTGTTGTGATTTTAGACAGCCTACAACCATCGTCTCGATTAGGACGCCGAATAGCTTCAGTCCCTTCTCCTTCTCCATCGCAGTGATGTCCCGAATGTTGATGCAGCGATCTTATTGGGTTTTTAATCGAGACGTCGAGTAATCACCGTTCCTCATCCACTCCGAGTTGTCGACGCAGATCATCGTAGCCTACGGCTAGGGGGGATTTTTAATCTTCGATCATTTGTAAAAAAACCCTAAAGAGTTAAAAAAAAATAAGATGATCGATTGATTGCAGACCTCAAGAACCATGGCGATTAGAAGAGAGAGGAGCGAGTAGCATCGGGAGAAGCAGAGATTGATGGAAAAAGAATTTAGAGAGCGAGGGAAACGGTAGCGATGGGAGATTGGGATATGTAGAGAAAAGAGTGGATCTGGAGAGGAGAGGTTGGTTAGAGAGAAAATAGACGGTTTTGGTTCTGAAACGTAGGGAATTTGGACGGTTGCGGTGAATTAACTCAACAATGGACGGTTGTGAAGAATTGAGAGGAAAATACGTGGAAAATTAGAAAATTTATTATTCGTTTTACTTTTTTGTTGTTCTCCTTTAGTAACAAAGAAGTAGACTCCTAAATCTTATTTAACAACATTTTTTATCACCTTCACGATTCGGTTTGAAACTGAGTTTGCTCTTGTCCAATATGATTAGTGCGTTCAATGGATCGCCCAAAAAACATTTATTTATACATGAACCAAACAACGATAAATATGGGATACCAGTATTCATGCCATATGTACTACTTATTTGCAGATTTCGAGAAATTAGTACAAATATCAAAGTAATGGTTTTTTTATTTATTTTTTTATTTTTTAAGACAAAGCTAAAAGGTCTTTGGTCATATTAGACCCTCAAATCTTTGTTAATTGTATATTAGACTCCAAATTTTTTAAAAGACACTCATTGATAGATTCCGCCTAAAATTAAAAAGATACACCATATCTAAGCCACATTGACTAATTTTCAAACATGTTTTTAACCTTATTTGTTAAATTACATTAATACCCATCAATTCCCTGCAGCCCCTCTATTTATCTTTCTTTCTTAATCTCTCTCCCTTCCGTTGTTTTTGGAGAGAGAGAGAGAGGAGGGAAAAGATAAAAGTTTGAAAGAGCATCAGACACGTAAAATACTCTACCAAGTAACAGCAACAATCGAAAAGAAGTAACAATTAAATCCAACGATGACGTGTTTATTACGGTAAATAAAGGATACTAATATCGGAACAAAACCGGAATATTCTTTTTCGAAAAAAAAATCCTGAATTTAAGAGCTAATGACTCAGGGCGCGTGATCCGAAAATTTTGGCTCCCATTTCCTCCACGCCCCTCACTTGCTTCTCTACACGACTCTCTCTCTCTCACTTGCTTCTCTACACGACTCTCTCTCTCTCTCTCTCTCTCTCTCTCTCAATTTTTAACCGATTCTTTGCTTCAATACTCTTCAAACTCAAAAGACAAATTGTTGTAAAGCTCCATATCCCAACAAGAGAAGCGAAATTCGATCGCCCATCAGGTATTATCCTCTCCTCTCATCTCCACATTCATAATTTAGCTATGCTGATCATTTATTTAATGCCCAATTCGCTTCTGGTTGGAAAATATTCGATTTGTTCCAGTGAGGATTTTTGTCGAACATGTAGTTGTGTGTCTCTAATGGGTATGATCTTATTTTGAATTTGGGTTGATTTTGCTTTGAGATCTTCGGTCAGTTAGCGCATTGATGATGAAAATTTGTTGGATTTTGATCATTTTTAGTTATCTGTGTGATGGGCATTCTTCAATTCGTTTCTAGTTGGGAAATATTTGTTTTGCTCCAGTGAGGAATTTACTAGAACATGTAGTAGTGTGTCTCAAATGGGGATTATCTCGTTTGAACTTGGGTTGATTTTGTTTCGTGATCGTGGGTTAGTTAGCACATTTATGAGGTAATTACATTGAGTTTTGTACATTTAATTTGGGGCACGAAAGCATGATCTTGAAGTTGGGTGAGATTGCATTGAGCAATATGTTCAGAATGTGCATTTTTTGGAACATGGTTAGGATTTTGATTTGGGATCTGAAGGATACTTTTTTTAAATTGATTTGAGTAGATGTTATGTACAAACTTACTTTGGTGCAACTTGATTCGCGGTGATAAATGATTTGGAGGTTGGGGAGCTTCTTCATGAGGTAGGAGTTATAACTTTTGTTATAGAGGGGGGGAAATGATCAATTAAATCACAACATTAGTGGATGAGCTGTGGCAAAAAGAAATGCCTAATGTCATGAACTTGTACTATTAGAACGATGGCTATGCGGAAGACAAACATTGGAGTGCTTTCCACCATCTTTTTTATGATGGCTTACTTATTACACCCAAATAAAAAAAATTATGTAGGTCGTGAAAGGTGAACTAGCGTTTCGGTACATGAGGTTGAAAGGCATTATTGCTGTATCTAAAGTTAGAAAGGTTTCAAATAAGAAGAAATCCATTCTTTCGATATTATTAGATTCTAACATACTCAGACTGCCAATTTTTGGGCTGTTAATCATGTATCTACATTGTTTTGTGCAAATTCAAGAATTATGAACCTGTCGCTACTTCTGTTTATAACTACCATAAATCACATTAAAATGATGGTTCATCTGAATAAATGTAGTCAATATAATGACTAGATTTCTCTCCCAATTTCTCTCAGGCCATATATGTACATATTTTGTAGTCCCTTGATTCTCTTCATAGGTTCTTCATATTTAACATCCATGTTAATATTTTTTTTTTAACATTCATGTTAGTATTTATTTGTGTGTGGATGTGTTCTTGATTAACCTGTGCTGTATAGATACGGTTCATTTCTTAATTTAGGTTAACGTCCAACTTAATGCATCAGCTGTATAGCCTTGGTACTATTTGCTTTTAGATAGCCATGTAGAGTAGGAAGTTATGTTAATCCAGTGAAATCATCAGTTGGATCAACTAGGTCAACGTGCTGGGGATACCTAAATCCCACTGTATACCCTTCAGGTCATTAGGTTATTTATGCGGGCTTTACCGATGAACAAGATAGACAAATATTTGAATTATCAATTCAGAGATTGGGGCTGGTTTTTTAGAATTGTGTGCTCATGTTATGAATGACAAGTTCCTATTTGCTTCCACACAGTGGGTTTTCGGGGTTTTGGTTCTTTTATCTTTTATTTATTCAGTGATGGTTCATCAAAGTCATCATATCACTTTGGATCATGAAGATATGTCTGTCAGTTACTTTAACTCTATTTCCCAGGCTTATAAGTGCAGGTCAATTATTCTAATTAGCAAAACCTTATCTGATATCTGTTTAGTTGCAAACTGTTGAGTACTCTGTAAAAGCAGATGCATAGAATTCCTATGATTAGTTAGCTGCGATGCATTGGACACATAAACTTCAGCTGCAATTTCTTAGCTTCATTTTAGTTATACTATCCCTTGCTAACACTGCTAATAAAGAAAAGTAGCATGAACCATGGGGCAGAATATTAACATAAAATTTGAGAATTTCTAACCCCATTCATTCTACAATGGAAACCAAATCAATTATTAATTTTGGTCCTTTTTTGTTTTTGAGAATAGAGGGTGCAGCCACAGCTCCAATACTAACATATGTTCTATGAATACATACAAAAGGTAGAATTTACAAAATAATCCTTTAAGATAAACAAAACTAGGTCTCCATTATACAGCAAAAAAACCAAAAATTTAACAAAACAAAGAGCTACCTGAATAACCCATGGTACCAGCATCCAATTGGAAACAGCATCTGACGCTTTATCAGATACATCGACTGACATCACAACTAATTACTAGAGACAAAAGCAGATGGACAACCACCAGCATAGGGCATTGGGACAAGAATTACCACAGGAACATATCCAGAAATAGGTCATAGAAGTCCTAATGATCTTCAGCTTCTTACGTTTGGCTAACTAGTAGCTACCGTCCAAAAAAAAGGAGTACATATAATAAACACCAAAGACGAGTATCTGAGAATTTTTTATTAAAAATTTTAGTATTGCACTCATTCCTCAACTTGTACTGAATCCATCACATATGTATCCTATATTTGTCTGGTTTAATAGTCTCCAGCAGTCCAACTTGACCGCCAAAAATATTAGGACCAAACATAAAAGTGTCAAAGACTAAGGCTGCACAAAGAGATTGGACAGCTCTGGTTATGATCCTGTTACAGTCTTTCTGTAGGACTTTTAACAATCTAAAGCTAGACAGTTCTTTGTGCTTACTACAGAAAAATCACACAACTGATTTATACAAATATTGGTTTCAAAATGCATTAAAGTTACTCTCTCGATTGCAATTTTCTCAAGCTTCTGTTAGTTGTGTAATGAAATATTTATTTATTTTTTCTGGTTTGTTAGGGTAAAGTGAAAGCTCATTTTTTCGAACAGGAGATCACAATAAATATTTTTCCTAATTTCCTATTGTCTTTCCAGCATCAGACCCAGCCAGTTGCGGAGCTTGGTGTTATAAAATATTTTCAAGGTGGCATCCTTTAGTTCGCCAACAACCAGATGATGCCACATTAAGTGCTATGCCTTGTGTTTTGAGATCCTTGATGCCGAGTTCATACCTGTCACACAATGTCCTTTCCTATCATATGGTCTGGAAATTTTTATCACTTAAGACATAGCTGTAGTTACAAGTTGCTCAGGTTTCAGTCTGGATCAACTCCTAAAATACTACCTGATACCAGAACATGCAACCTACGATTTCTAGCATCAAAAGCTGAAGGAAAGAATCAAAAATCACAGAGCAAGAAGCCACAGAATGTCAATGTGAATCATAATGATGGTTCAGTTAAGTCATCTAGCAGCAAAACTATAAACAAGTCCGAGCTTCATGAATTCAAAGCTGTTCAATGTTACCAGCATATTTCTGAGAAAAGAGTTTTCGATTGGCCTGCTGTTGTTATTGCTTTTGATATTGAGACTACTGGGTTAAGTCGTCAAAAGGAAAGGATAATTGAAATTGCACTTCGGGATCTTTATGGAGGCAAGAATAGTACATTCCAAACTTTGGTCAATCCAGAAAAAGAAGTATCAAATTCTTATATTCATGGCATTAGATCAGATATGGTTAACAGGCCTGATGTCCCAAGGTATGCTCTTCTATATTTTTGCCTCTTTTTTCTTAATGGGCATCATGTTAGGAGTTCCTCTGGTAATTTGTGTACTCTCTAGTAGTTTCATCTTCAATTCAGAGTGTTAAACAATATAATATTATAGATTCTCATTCATGTCTCAAAAGCTACAACTATTCCTCTTTATACAGTGATACAATAACAAGAAGTTTGTTGTGTAGTCAATGCGGGACTAAACATAATTACTTAATCATAATTGCTCTCTTAGTTACATTCCTAATATCCCTCAATCACCAAATCTCTAATTTATACTCATAATATACTATTCCTAATATAACTATAACAATATAGATCTTCATTATATATTTCTTAACATTCCCCCTCAAGCTGGAGCATGTATATCATATATGCCCGGCGTGTTATAAACAAGATGTACTCATTCCAATTTGTGACACGACTTAAATGACTGAAATCTTCTATGTGACCTTTCCCATCCTAGTTATCTTCATCTTCTAGTCTTCTACTTGAATGTCTTCCTCGATGAACAGACTTAACCAAAATCACCAAATGCATTACCCCGATCTTCTTCACAGATTGACCAGGGAATTACCAAACAAACAATCTTCACTAGGGACCCACCAAGCAAACGATCCTTCCTAGAAATCCATCAAACAAACGATCCTCTTCATGGATTAACCAAACAAATGATCTTTTTCATGGATCAACCAAACAAACGATCCTCTCTGGGGGTCAACCAAACAAACTATCCTCTCTAGGGTCAACCAAACAAGCGATCCTTTACGGATCAACCAAATAAACGATCATTTTCGGGATCTAACAAATAAATGATCATTCTTTAGGGATCTACCAAACAAATGGTTTCTTTTTAGGAATCCACCAAACAAATAAAGCAGAAAATAACTTTCATCGAACCAAACTCCAAATCAAATTCTAATTCAATCAAAATATGTTTTCTGATAGCTAATGGTTGTCAAGATTTCTAGAATACAAGCGGTGGTGTCGACAAGTTGAGCAGGTGGTGAACGAAGGAAAATCGAGGCGGCACAGGCAGTAACGAGAATATATACATCGAGGATGACTACTGCTACTAATAGTGACAATTCTAGTTATCAACAAGGCCATCAAAAGTAGAACAGACAGAATCCACGGCGCTGCTCACTATGAACAATCACCGCGACATTGTTCATAGTAAAAAGTCATAGCATCCTCTTCACGGTAACCAGTCATAGGAAAGAAGGGAGGTTGTAAATCAAAGGGAGGAGTTTGATGGTGAGGGATTAGGGGGCTAGGATTTGTGAGAATCTAGGGTTTTGTGGAGGCTAGAGTTTGCATGACTCTGATATCATGTTAAATAATAAAATATTATATATTCTCTTTCATGTCTCAAAAACTACAACTACTCCCTTTTATATAGGGATACAATAACAAGAAGTTTATTGTGTAGTCAATGTGGGAGTAATCACAATTATTCTCTTAGTTACGTTCTTATATTCTCTCAATCACAAAATTTCTAATTTATACTCCTAATATCAAGGTTGCTGATAGCGGATCGCGGCGCATCGCGGCGAGGTACCGCTAAGGCTATATCGGGCTATTGCGGCGAAATCACGCCAAATAGCGCACAATCAAATAGCGGTCAAATTTAAATATATTTAAATATCCTAAATAATAAGAAAATTCATAAAAAAATCTAAAAATTCAATTAGTTGTACATTTCTTGTATTATCAATAAATAACAATTAGTAAGCTTATTGTATGAATGAAACTATGAAGAAATTCAAGAAATATAGCATCATAATATGTGTGATAGCGGGTTTAGCCGCTTTTAACAAAAAAAATCCGCTTTTAACTGCGAAAATCTGCTTTTAACCGCAAAAACCCGCTTTTAACACGCTAAAATCCGCTTTTACGCGCTATTCGAATGAATAGCAGATTTTCCCGTTTAAGCCAGCCGCGAAACCTCTACGCGTAGCGCTGAAGGGCCGCGACAGCTATTCGCGCCGCTATAGCCCCGCTATTGGCTGCTATTTACAACACTGCCTAATATATTATTCCTAATATAACTATAGCATTATAGATCTCCAGAATACATTCCTTAACACAGAGATAAACTCTAAGCTTAATCATAACCTTGTATAGATTTTCCAGAGTCATAATTCCCAAAAGGCTTTTGATCTGAGGTCTCTTTTAGGCTTGCTTCTCTTACTTTACTGGTGAAACATTGTTTTGAAATTGAATTGATGAATATTAATTGATATTGAATTGTAGTTACCTTTTAGGGAGGTGAAAAACATATATCTTTGTTTAGATATGACCCAGGTTACTCGGACACTTCATCTAGGCTCCCATATCCATGTTCGTGTAACGAAAAGCATAATAATAGTATTAGGATTTTAGTTCTTATAACATGTGAATGAAAAACAATATCGATCTCATATAGATTATTAAATTTAATATGTATGTATATAACCGTGTCCCTATATAGTCATGCCTCTGTATCCTAACTTTTACTATTTTGCCATGTCTCATATCCACGCCTGTGTCTGTGTCCACAAAAGCACCCATATCCACAATCATCGATATCCGTGCAACATAGGATATGACATACCACATATTAATCTTCATGACAATGCTGCTTATAGCTGATGTGTCAGGTAAACGTCCAATGTGACAATGGTGTTATGTTTGTTAAGCATTTATCATGTCAAATGTATTCTTGCCATATGGTTTGGACGTCATGATGCTCGAAGAAATCTATTGTCCTTCAAAATTGGTAGAGCCTATTCTAACTTCTAAGAACTTATCGGAACTTATCCTTTTGAAAATTCAGAGGATATTCACTATGTTCAAATCCCTCTCTACCCCCTGCAGTGAATGTGAAAAGTGAATAGTCCACTATATAACAAAAATTCAATTACCATAGAACAACTTATATCAAAAGAAATGCTTATCCTAAAATCGCTGGTGCAAACTCAAATAAATACCACTCAACCAACAAGGCGCCTTTTGTAGTTGAAGCATTGATTTTGGTTAAATTGTAGCTTGGCATCAATCACTTACTAAACATCAATAATTCTATTATCATTTTCTTTAGTTCCTCAAATTTTATATTCCACCACTATTGAAGGATGGAAATTACATTAGCTTATTTTCTTCTTTTTTCCAGTCTGTATTCAGAGCTCTGATACATATTGCAACACCAACATCATTTTCCATCTCTTTTAAAATCTGAAATTAGTTTGACAGCTTAGACTCATCAGCAAGGATGTCTTGTTGTTCCAGGTTAGACTCATCGACAAAGGGGTCAGATCATTATAGGTCTGGACCACACATTCTCTTTTCTCCCAGATCTATCTAGCCTCCCTTGAAGCATCTATATCACTATGGATCAACTCATAATGACCTGATCTGACCTGGAGAATGTATAAAATAGGAAAGATTCCTGGCTGAAAAAAAATAAGGTTTGTCTATATCCAACTAATTTGACATAAAAAATGCTTGATTCAATGATCTTGGGGAAGTAAAGATCTTCTCTTCTTTCTTCTTTTGTTTCTTTCTTCTTTCTTCTTTTCTTTCCTCCTATGAGTTATGTCCATGTATTTTAGGGGGACAAAGGAGAGGGCAGGAGTGCCTGTTATGCTGCCCATGCTTACTTCCTGTCGACTCCTCGGACAGTACATTGCAGCTTTATTTCCAGCTAACATTGTAGATTATGTTAAAAAAAATTCACATTGTTATAGAGGTATGGGATGAGGTAGGTTATCGGGCTTCCAGTTCAAAGTCCAGCAACTGTAGGAAGAAAGAGAGATAGAGGTTCATACAAGAGATCGAACTAGTTTGCAGCATGGGGATTTCAGTCTGGACGGTTCAAGTAGGGAATGTTGCTGAACTAGTTTCAGAAGATGTCATTGAAACTTTATTTTCTGTAGACATATATAGAAATATATGTCCTTATTTCAGTGTTTTAGTTTGTGACTTTTCCAAATTTTATGTGTATATATGCATGTCTATTTGCGTGCGTGTGCGCGTGTATGTCTCGCTGCATTCATGTGTGTTTTAGTGATTGTACATATACATAGCATATATAGACATACACATGTCAATAAATGTATGCTAACGTAAATCCTCACGTATATATGAAAGGACACTTGTTCCTCTGCGTGTGGTTTTGTGTGTATCATTTAGCATTATTTTCTTGTTTTACATAGATTTATATGGATGTTACTATCTTTCTTCCTATTCTTTAAATTTATATAAATGAGACTATCTTTCTTCCTACACTAGGAAGTCTTTATAGGAGTTTGGTAGTCAATACAGAAATGCACCTGAGACAACCAAAATGTACTCAATACATGATGAGACACATCCGCTATGTTTCAAAATATAACTGATACGTACTGAAACATGCACAATACGATGCAAAATACACTTGAAACAGGATGCAACACTCCTGTATCGGGTGATTTCAGCTTCCTATCAGGACAGACGGAAACCTAAGAACATAGCAAACCTCTGTAGATTTTTTGCAATAACTCGTTCCTCGAGCAAAAGCTGCTAGAAATCTATTTACCATTTACATCAGCGGTTAGATAATTTAACTTCTTTCTTGTAAAAAACCCTCTAATCTCTAACATTTAGCCCCACTATAGCTGTACCTCTTTGAACCACTCTATTTTATCACTTCAAGATTTTTGCATCCTATGAGTTATTTTTTTATACTGACTTTGCTATTACCTTCAATATTGTGTTCTTCTTGATTGCTTCGTTATTTATGGAATTCCTTAAATTTTGGTTTGTTCTGATTTTCGTAATTTGTTGTTTCAGTTTTAAAAACCTTTAGGAAAAGCCTTCTTATTGTTTGCCATGTAAGAGGGAAAATCTTCGTCGTAAGCAAACCTATGACTGTTAGCTGTTTGACTAATGAACTATAAATTACGTTATGGAAATGGTTAATGTGCTACGACTACAAAGCCTGGCATGTTATGATATGTTTGCAGGCAATTAGAAGAAAGATTTAGTGCTGATTCCAACAC